TGCTTCTTCTTCGCTGATTTGCGGCTTGATTTTCGATCCCGGTTTCAGAATATTCTGCTCGGGACCAGTAACTTCGGCATTTTGTTCAGAATTTTCCTTGGCTTCAAACTTGAAGTCCGTTGGCAACTGTGCGAATGCCGTTAATTCAACTCCTGAATTACTTAATTCCATTTTAACTTGTTTTTAAACACTGAACTTTTCCTGATGTTGATTCACTTTTTTCGTTTGTATCAAAAAAAATTTTATTCGGATTTTATTGTGTGATAATTTATACGTTGCTTTTAGCTTTTCACAAATTAAAGCGCACCAAATTGATTCAACACACTAAAAGCTCACCCGTTTTGTTCGCTACCGCGTACCGTTTTTTTTCTCTTTGTCGATTCTCTCACTCTCCGTCGGTGTCAGCGACACAATTCCTCTACCGAAAATGAAAAACAAATGTGTGTACAAACAACGGAATTCGATTGTTTTCAACAAACGTTGTGTGGAAAAAGACAGGCAGCCAGTAAATGCAAGAAACGTACAAACTGAAACCAGCGTATACAATGGAATAAACAAAGTCGACTGCGCGCGAGCCTTGTTTATTACATTAACTGTTTATCAAATTAAATTTTATTTCTTTATTTCTGTGCATATAGCTAAGGCATAGGGTGTTAAACAGTGTGTTGTCGTCGTCGCTTGTACCAAACAAATGCATGCCATTGTGTTTTGGCGTGTAGTTTTGTGTGTTTTTTTTTATCAAGAAAATGTAGCTATCCACAGTATCTCGTCTCGACTCTGTCGGCGGCACGTTTCAATTAACAGAAAATAAAATTCGAAAACCAACCTACCGATTATACAATGCATAGCAGAAGCAATCAGTGAAACTAATGCACATTTTATGATTATTTCGATCGATAAGAGAGAGAAAAATCGAATTTTGCACCGAAATAATCAGCGTTGTTGTGCATTATTCGTGACATTTATCAAAAATTCGTACTTGGTGTGACCCTGTGAAAATGAAGTTTGACTGTAAAACGGATAAAGATGTGAATGGGAAAAAAAATGACGAACAAAAACAATAATCTGATGCGACAGAAAAAAAATGACGGCGAGAAGCGTTTGTTTAAATTCTTCAACTGATAAGACCTAGATATATAGATCACTTATTGTGATCAAGTCGAGTGATAGTCACAATTTTTTTGGTCATACAACAGCAAAAAGAGAGAGAATTAAACGCCACTCTTGAGTAACTGCGTGTAAACATACGCTTACAACGAATACCATGTACATTGTACATGCATACACCTTAATTCCGCTTATATTTCATCCAATTGATGAAACACTTGGATCAAAATTTTGCGCAAATTCTATTTTCTCTATATCTTCATCATTGACGCGCTTTTCAAGTGTCTACACTGTCATTGTGTTACACAAGCATTCATTTACATAATTTGCAAATTGGGAACATTTGACGAGATAGGATCATGTGGATATATAACGGAGATAAAAGTACCTTCACCTAATTTCACTTGTTTTTCTTTTCATTTGTTCATTGTTTTTGCAAAACAAACAACACTTTCTTCTAGAAATTGCTTTTATTTGCCCCGGCTTTGATAAAACTTTGATTTAAAAAAATCGCTTATTTTGCGACTTCTCGAATTGTGCTAACATTCAAAGTACTTCTCTTTTGTATTCCGAAGGAATTCAGAGGGAGACAAAGTCTAATGGCCATTGGCCAATCAAATTAGAAAAATCTGATTTTATCAATCAAAGATTCTTATTTTCTATCAGTCAAATCGTAAAATGTCACACTTCAAATAGCGTGTACTCGATGTCCGAATGCTATTTTCTTTTCATATTATGTACTATGATGGGTATTTCAATCCCTATGCAGTTAAAGTTATTATATCTCTAGTTATTGCATTTGACTGACCAAAAATATCACCTTGATGGAATTTGTTCAAAGATGTTTGAAATTAATCGAGCTTCCAAAAGTGTATGTACAATTCCGCATTTAACTGCAGTCAAAATTTCCGAAAAAAATGATTGTTCACTTTATTTTCTAGCGTTTATCGCTTTGTTTCAAGTATTCGTCGGCGGTGGTGAACCAAAGTTCTTCAAGTCCATCTTTTGGTGTTTCCCGTAGTAATGTCAACATTTTCCATCCATTTTCTTGAGATGACAACAGGTAGTCATTTTCTGGATCGAGTAAATGGGTGTAGGCGCCCATCACAAGACTTTGACACAAACGTGCTGCAACACAAATCTGCGAATGAAAAACAAACAAAATCCGATTTCCAATTAGCAAAATTAGCCTCGTCTAGAATGATTTAATTCAAAGTTCTATTGAGATATACCGTAAGCACGTTACGTTCATTCTGTGGGATGAGACGTAGTTGCTGATAGCCAGCAATGACATATCCAGCCGTTTCGAGTTCACATGACTGTAATATCATGTAAGCGATAGTAATTGCCAATTCAAATATGTACAATGATTGTGAAGTGTCGCCGAAATCAATGACGCCCGTCACACGAAACTCCTCCAATTCCGGTGAATCTTTTGTAACAATCAAATTATGCTCGTTACAATCGCCATGGATGACACCCTTTGCGAAATCGCCGATACGCGATAAAACATTTTCTTTAAAATCGGCCAGCACCTCTTGGACCAGCTCTTGCTTTTTCGGATCGTTGATTGCGTACAGTAATTTTGTCAATTGTGTTACCGATTCCAGCATCCAGACTGTTTTGTGATTGTCGTACGCATCGTGTTGGAAGCGTTTCAATGCCGAATCAATTTTCGCCACAAATTCACCGACTTGATAGAATAAATGCTTCGTTTTCAGTACATCGTTGAATATTCGGCCTGGGATGAACTCTAGCAAACGCACCAAATGCAACGATTCGCCAATTTTCTCAATTGAATTATACTTGCCGAAAATATTCATAACTGGTTTTGGACAATTGATTCCTTGCTGGCGCAAAAATAGAACCAATTGCGTTTGTCCGTCGAAGAATTTCGCTTTTTTCGTATCGAGCGAATTGACAATTTTCAAAACATAGCCGTGCGGCCAAGCATTCGGTATAATCGGATTTTTAATATTTCTATTGAACAAAAGATGAAATCAGATATGCAGATTAAATCATTTTTGCTTCGGTTCGACTGTGTTCCATCGAAAAAGATGCAATACTTACGTGTCCACATGAATGAGAAAATTTTTATCATCATATGATACTAGTTCGGAGATGTCACGTGTTGAAATGCCATACAGACGTTCGGCCAAACGAACTGCTTCTTCTTCGCTGATTTGCGGCTTGATTTTCGATCCCGGTTTCA